AGAGATATCTGGTAGAACAGGCAGTAGACCTGGCTTATGTGACTAAAACCTGGGTGAGGGAGGGCAAAATGGTCACCCTGGGTCAACTGCCCCCCCCCCCGGGTTTCTTGGTGCTTCACCAGTCTCAGACTGATGGGCAGGGGGGAGGGGTGTTGTTCACTCCCTGAGGCTAAGATTGCCAGCACTAATTGTGTTGGCCTGGTGTAGGAGGCCAGTGAAAGTTTGGCCATTTGGTTGGTGTACCATCTGCATAATGCCCTGGCAAATGTCCTGTCACACCTGTTGGAAGCTGTAATTATTATTTAAAAAAGAAGAAGAAGAAGAAGCTGTATCTAGCTGTATCTAGCTGGGCCTTGGAGTACCCTAGGCTTTTAGTCTGGGAGATTTCAATGTTCATGCGGATGATGCAGTGTCCTCTCACGCCATGGACCTAGAGTCGTCCATGGCACCACTGAGATTCTCCCAGTTTGTTTTGACTCCCACACATCGGGGATTATGGTGCACCAGATTACTACTGATGCAGTCCCATGGTTAGACCACCTTGCCCTGATGACATTGGCTGTCTTCAGGTCCAGTCTTGGACCACTTCAATCTGCTCTTCCAGGATGAAGTTGACAAGATCCTGGTAGCTGTGAAGCCTACCACATGCCTCCTAGATCCCTGTCCATCGTGGCTGGTTAAAGCCTGTGGCAATGAGGTGTGGACCCCCTGAGGGAGATCATCAACTTGTCCCTTTCAACAGGGACCTTCCCAGGGAGACTGAAGGAAGCAGCGGTTCACCTCTCCTTAAAAATCCTTCTCTGGACCCGACAGTCCTTAATAACTACTGACCAATGTCTAACCTACCATTCCTAGGTAAGGTGGTAGAGAGGGCAGTGGCAACACAACTTCAGGCTTTCTTGGATGAAGCTAAGGTCCTGAACCCCTTCCAGTCCAGCTACTGCCCTGCCCACAGGATGGAGATGGTGCTGGTTGCCCTGGTGGATGATCTCTGGAGACATCTGGACAGAGGCAGATCAGCACTGCTGATTCTTCTTGACCTGTCAGCAGGGTTCAACATAGTTGACCATGAGGTGTTAACCCATTACCTCACCAACACTGGGATATGGGGGCTTGCCTTGCAGTGGCTGATCTCCTTTCTCCGGGGTTGGGGACTGAGGGTGGCGCTTGGGGAAGAGTTGTCCCAGCGGCACCCACTGGAATGTGGAGTGCCACAGGAAGCAACTCCCCCCCATGTTGTTTACTATCTATATACGCCCCCTCGCCCAGATTATCAGGTGGTATGGACTGGATTGTCACCAGTATGCAGATGACACCCCGCTCTATCTACTGATGGACAGCTGCTCGGACATGCCCCAGGAGATCTGGACAAGGTGTCACAAGCTGTGGCTGGATGGTTGTGACAGAGATGACTGAAGTGAAATCCATCTAAGATGGAGGTCCTGTACCTGAGTCACGGGGAACTGAGCCAGGGAATCAGGCTCCCAACTTTTGATGGGGCTCCACTGGTGCCAACGTTGAAGGTGAAGCATCTGGGGGTGTTCCTGGACGCCTCCCTTTCTATGGAGGCCCAAGTCACTGCCACTGCCAGGTCCGCCCTTTTCCATCTGAGACAGATCAGGCAGTTGGCCCCATATCTCACCCCCCGGGACCTAGCTACAGTGACCCATGCAGTGGTCACTTCCAGACTGGACTATTGTAACTCTCTCTATGAAAGGCTACCCTTGACTCTGCTCCGGAGGTTACAGCTAGTGCAGAACGCGGCAACATGGGTGTTGACGGCGATGCCTGCATGGGCTCTCATCCACCCAGTGCTGTGCAACTGCACTGGCTACCTACTGAATTCTAGATTCAGGCCCCAAGGAGGTAAGGCTTGCAGTGACCAGGGCCAGATCCTTTTCAGTGGCGGCCCCTACCTGGTGGAATGAGCTACCAGAGGAAATCAGGGCCCTGTGGGACCTCATGCAGTTCCGCAGGGCCTGCAAGATGGAGCTCTTCCGCCAGACTTTTACGTACGGGATGCCACTACCACCACTACTACAATCATGTGGTTAATAACGGGACGGAAGGATGGCCACAGAAGATCTGCCAAAATACTACATGGCACTGGTACCACCGGACTATGTACCAACTGTAGTTGGACTATGTACCAACTATAGGCAATACCACCTTTAATAGCAGCCTGATATTCCCCTGCAAACTATGGAGAGCATCCTGTTCTTATTGAACACTTTATTCTTTGTTGATTTAAATGGTTTTACTGTTTTATTCTGTTTTACTGTGTTTTTATGTGCGAGCACTAGTGCTTCCTTGTAAGCCGCCCTGAGCCCGCTTGCGGGGAGGGCGGGGTATAAATATAAAAAATAAATAAATAAAATAGATCCATTTCAAGATGCTGGTGCTCACCTTTAAAGCCCTATATGGCCAAGGGCCAGCATACCTTCGAGACCGCCTCTCCCCACATGAGCCCCGGAGGCCTGTTGCCAGCTCCAGATTGGGAAGTTCCTGTTGATTTTTTGGTGGAGACTGAGGCGGGCAGGGTTTGGAGAGGGGAGAGGCCTCAACCGGATATAATGCCATACAGTCCACCTTCCAAACCAGCCATTTTATCCAGGGGGACAGATACATTGTTAGGAGTTCAGCTGTCGTTCTGGGAGATCTCCAGGTCCCACCTGGAGGTTACAACCATAAGCCTGGCAGGAACCTCTGGGTGACAGTGATTAGTTCCTCTGAAGAAAATGGCTGCTTTGGAGGGTGGGCTGATCTCTGTAGGAGGGAGATCTGTTGTGATTCCAGGAGATCTCCAGGCCCCAACTGAAGGTTGGCAACCCCGGAAGGAGGGAAGGAAGGAGGGAAAGGGGAAAGGCTATGGGGGCTTTCAGGAAAGGGGAAAAGAGGACAGTGGGGGAGGGGGAGTGCAGGTTCCCACTTGTCATTCTACTATTATTGAAAGAAAAGCAGAGATTTTGTCCTTGTAACACACCTCACTCCTTTACCTGGACAGAGTTTTAAATCCCAGCCTTTCTACTATATTCAGTTAATCCTTCCTTACAGGAAATCTATAGTATCTTGTAATAAACATTATGATTTCCCAATGCTATAGGCCAAGCCTGGCTTCCTCTGCAATCCTATGAACAATAAGGTGAATGGCCATAACTTAGGTAATTTAAACATTCTGCAGGCCAAGCAGCAACAAGCACTTGGCTCCATAACTGATATTCATGTGTATATTCATGTATTCTGCTATCCAACAAAGACTGACTTGTCCATTAGCAAGCCTGCCAAGACTTGAATGGGAGCAGCAGGCCCCTTGAAAAGATGCCCCGCAGCAGCATCTGTTACACAAAGAAAGACAAAGCAGCAAGATGCCATCCAGGAAAAAACTGCCACAGTGCCAGGAAACATACTCAGCAGAGACCATCTACACAGCTTTCTACCACTGCTCCCTACTGGAAGATACCTTGGACTGCCATCCCCATGTTGTAATATGCATAACTGGACTGAAGAGATTATGCAATGTATAAATGTATGCAAGAGCTGAAGTAAGACCCACACAAGCCACTGTGAGCAGAGAAGGCCAACCTCGGCACTATCACAGACCACTACTAATTGTCTCCGCACTGGATCCTGCCTCAGGTGCACCAACCCCCTGAAAGTCTGCAAGTGGCAACTACAAGGCCTTCTTCATACTGGCATTCACTCTGTGAAGGGCAACTGAATTAAAACACACAGAGGAATTTCAGACAGGCGATATATTCCAGAAGAGGAACAGTTCCCAAACGGTTTCTGGTCTGTCATTTCAGATAGAACCGTTTGAGAACCGGTTCCCTTCCGGAATATATTTGTCATTTCATACACAATCGCTTCTGTCCCGTTTAGGAAACGGGGCTGAAGCGTTTTACCTGTCAACCACTTCCAAGTACTCCTCAGTTTCCTCTCCCAGTTCCGAAGCGCTTTTTCCCGCCGTTTTCCACCCGCGGGGGCGATCTCCGGCTTTTTTTTAACGTTTGCTTTATAGCGTTATAGCGCTATAACGCTATAATGGAATAGCATTATATCAATCCCATTGGAATGCATGGAGTGTTTTGTCATACTGCTATAATGCTATAGCGCTCTAAAGTGAACGTTAAAAAAAAAAGGCGGAGATCGCCCGCACGGGCAAAAAACAGTGGGAGAAAAGCGGTGCAGTCTGAAATGGCAAACCGCGTCAGATCCAGCTCTTTACCGGAAGGGGAAAGCCATGTGTGAAATGGCAGCCCTATACCGGTTCACTTCAAAACGGATCATTACCGGCTTCAAACCGGGTGAAACTGGGTAATGTGAAATTCCCCACACAGTTTACAACTGCTACTCAGGCACAGCAAAAGCTTGGTGAAGAGAAATGCTATGACAGTGTTTCTGTAAAACAGCTTACCGCAAGAGCCTTCCTGCTAGCTGAGCTATACATAATATTCACTTTCTTCAAGTAGTAAGAATGTCAGCTGTCCATATACTCCTTTCTTTCTCAGTTTTCCAGTTTCTACAGGGAACTTTCAAATAGCTCCCCTAAAGGGAAAAATCCAATATTTATTTTCCTAAGCCCTCAAATTTTCCAGAAATGTTACATCTCCAGCTACTAGCTAATGTGGCTTTGAGGAGTCAACAATTAAGAACTTGAGCATTTTTAAAAGGAAAAAACATGCCAGAGGGGCCCAATTAAAAACACAAAAATGTAAGTGAACAGCACTTACCTTTTGAATTCAACATCCAAGACAGCTAGATCTACCCACATTACACTAACACTCACATCACCACCTCACTAGGAGGTATCAGGTCAGGACATGATGACTGTCACCCAAATTCTTCTGATATCTCATGCAGATATGATTATACCTCAGGCAGTTATGCAAGAAAAATTAATGCAACATGGCAATTAAACGAACCACCACCAGCAGCTAAACAGAGAATATCAGGACAGCACACAGAACAAGTTTAGAGGGGAAAGGGTGTGCAATACTTACCCCTGCAGCAAAGCCCAGGCTGCCATCCAGGATCCGTCTCTGTAAATTAAAAAGAAGATCTTGCAGTAAGCATAAAGCGCCAAGGTACAGCAGCTTATTGTGTAAGAGCACCACTAAATACAAAGTTCGAAGGGAGGAGAATCAAGCTTCTGAATGTGGTTTGAACCAGCTGGTGTACATGCCAGCTGGTGTACCGTCCCTCCTCGCTTGCATGGGGCTCAGGGCGGTTCACAACAATTTAATTCAGTACAGTGTAACATAAGTTAAAACCATAAAAAGTCAATATTTTAAACATTCAAGCATTTAAACATTTCAAAACATTTTAAAAACAAGATGGCAGTGCTAGCATTCAGTCACTGGGGGAGGAGGGGGAAGGTGCCTGGCAGATGTAAGAAACTGTCGCTGGCCTCGACCAAAGCCCTGGCGAACATCTCTGCCTTACATGCCCTGCGAAACTTTAATAGATTAGACAGAGCACTGATGTCACTTGGCAAAGGGTTCCACCAGGCTGGGGCCAGGGAGGAAAAGCCCCTGGCCTTGATCGAGGCCAGCTGGATATCTTTTGGGCTGCGGAGCACCAGAACATTCTTATCTGCTGATCTTAATGCCCTTCAGGGGACATACCAGGTGAAGCAGTCCCAAAGGTACTGACTGTTAAGGACTTTAAAGGTCAGCACCAAAGTGTTGAATCTGATTTGGTACTCCACCGGCAACCAATGCAGTTCACACGGCACTGGATGAATCTGTGTCCTCCGTGGGGTCCCTGTAAGGATCCACACCACCGCATTTTGTACCAGTTGAAGCTTCCAGGTCAGTTTCAGGAGTAGCAAGTTAGAGTAATCCAGCCTGGAGGTGACCGTTGCATGGATTTCTGTGGCAAGGTCGAGGTGAGACAGATAGGGGGCTAGTGGTTTGATTTGTGGTGTGAATGGCTACAACAGGGACCCCCAACATGATGCCAGTGGGTACCATGGTGCTTGCTGACACATTTCCTAGAGACCACCAAGTGTTTTTAGAAACTGGACAGGGACAGATGGGCCCAGGAGGGCTTTGAAATGCAAAGCAGAGTTTTTTAAAATGTTGTTTTGGGAGCAGCTGCCACCACATCACAAGGAGCGTCACTGAATGACTGAAGGTAAGCTGCAAGAAAATATTTTAATTCAAGAAGCTCATTTTTAAAAGTTATCCTGTTGAACAGCTTCTGTCTGAAATGCTGAAGAGTTACCATTAGAGTTATGCATAACCTCACTCCCTGACATTCCATGGTTTTCTCCGTCCCCTCAGTGGCTATTCCATGGTTTCACCCAGCAGCATGTGTCAGAATTCCAAAGGTTCCCACAGGCTCAAAAAGTTTGGGGACAAAATACTCCTCTACCCTGTCTGCTATTCTATCACACCTCAGTCTTTTTCAGTTCACAGTATCGCAGCAAGGGAGCTCAACATTACTCCCACAGTACAGGTAAAAAACCTGAACTGACGACTTATGCATAGCACATCGACGACTGAACAGGGATTTCAATGTGTACAAACACACACATCAGCAAGCAATGACAGCCAAAAGAATAATCTGTCCAAACATTTGTTATTTTATTCCCACAAAGTGGGTTTCAGTCTACCAAGCTTTACAGTAGCGGCAAACACAGGCTAAAACAAAAAGGTGCCATTCCTTAAGAGCCGTATCCCAAGTATGCTAAGAATAAAATGCTAAGAATAAAACTAGACTGATGGTCACCTGCTATTTTTTGCAAATTTTTGTCTGTTCCACCCTGCCATAATACGGAGAACAAGAAAAACTGTGAGAAAGTGACACTTAATATATGTCTTCTTCGGGCGCCCCGTCAATATATATTTTTCTATGATTATGTATATTATTTTTGTTCACTTTTCTATGATTCTTTAAAGACATATATTAAGCGTCACTTTCTCACAGTTTTTCTTGTTCTCCGCAGTATCTCATTACTGTGCTAATCAATTGTTATATTACCACCCTGCCATAAACCAAGGACTCTGAAGGACAGTTTCCAAAGGCTAAGCCCTGAGGGCACATAACTGCCACTGTTTAGAAGAAAATTGCAATGCTTCCTTCAAAAAGTGGAAGCAGGCAAAACAACCTCTTAGGAAACACTAAAGGTGGAAAGAAATCCATTCCACGTGTAATATGGCTTTTTCCATGTACTTCTAGGGACAAAAAGGAGGCCTTAATTTAAGGAAAGAAATCTTGTTTCATCTGATGAAGGACCTTGCCAAGTGAATCTCAGGCCACAGTGAACATGTCACTGTTTAAGGTGCCATAAAACTACTGCTTTTTTCTGCAAGAAACCTTGCCTTCTCTTCTAGAACCTGAAAAAAAAGATTGAGACCAATGTTAATTAGGCAATTTTAAATTTTATTTCAGCCATGAATTGTAAAATTAAAGCTGCCTTGTTTTAAAGGATCCAAAATGTAAATGATAAACCCATTTCCTTGACATGGACAGTCGTCTGATATTGGAACTCCTGTTCACTCGGTTAAAGGTATATTTTGCACTCATACTTCTTTCACTGACACCTATGGTAAAACGCTGAGAATCCTGTTTGGAATTTACTGTATTTCAGCCAACTCAAAGAACAAGACCTGAAGATAACGACCCACCTGGCCACTGGAAAATACAAACACAAGTGCTGAGCCCGCAGCAGTCAATCCCCACGTCAGGAAAGTGCCCAGCACTGCTTGCACCACTGGATTGTAACCTAATAGCATACTGAACGTGCCGGGGTTCGATGAGCTAGAAGAAAAGAAGGGGCATTAAGGAGCAAAATTTCATATCATTCATTTGCATTTATTTATTTATTTATTTGTATCCCACTCTCTCCCCAGTCAGGAATTCACAGCAGTTTTTAAAACATCATTATCTCCTCCTCTACTTTCTCTCAACAACAACTCTGTGAGATGGGCTAGACAGAGAGCTTGTAATGGGCCAGCGAGCTTACATGGCAGAAGCAGAGATTCAAACCTGGGTCACCCGGCTTCCTACTCCACACTAGCAATCATATTGTTACAATGGGGGGGGGGGGGGGGCCCTTTTTTTCCCTGACAAGTATTGTCACTTTCACATAGGTTTTTCACCAGTGCATCTGTTGATCCCATTGTCAAAAGAAACAAAAGCCCTTTATATCAGAACTTATTCGTATTTCACTGATGAGAGGAAGCAGTAGGCTTGAGTAAGGGAGATGCAAATTTAGTTCCCTCTTCAACCACAGACTCCTGAGGGCAGGGCTTAGGTAAACCACTTGCTCACTCATACTTCCTCTTTTTAAAATGGGGGAAAGTCTGTAACCCTATATGCACATTTATCAAAAATTAAATTCCAGTGAGCTTTAACAAGACTTATTTTTAATAACCCAGATTGCAACAAGCACAGGGTTGTTGTAGAGACATATTAGCATATTAAAATAATTCTTAAGATATAATAAATTCAGCCAGACAAAGTGCTAAATTTAGCCCATCATTATCTGCCTTATTTCATTCACCTGTCTGATTCTGTTGCAGAGTTCGGCAAATTGTACATATCCACGCACTCATTAGCAGTGTTCTCTCTAAGCTGAGTTAGGGTGAGCTAGCTCACAGGTTTTTAGCCCCCGGCTCACACATTTTTGTCCGAGCTCAGGAAGGATGGCTCCAGATCAAACTACTGTATGCAGTAGTCAAATCGTTCGCTCACAACTTTAATGCAGTAGCTCTCAAAAAAAGAATTCTTGCTCACAAGACTCCACAGCTTAGAGGGGACATTGTGATGGACAAGTAAAAGTCAGAAGCCCCGTTGACAAGTTACAGTGAATGCACATACAATCCATGTACACTGTATACTTGATTTTTTAAATATGTGTGCTGAATAATTCTCACATTGCATTCAATAACATGTACAGCTGAACTTATGAATGAAACTCCACATTTATCCAGGTTCTGGTCCCTGGTCACATTTCTAAAGTTAACACACATTGGCTCTTTCTTGCAAACAGATGTCTATGTAAGACATGTAGGATTTACATGTGTTCACTGTAACACATGAACAAGGCTGGAGATATGTTCTTCTCGTGTTTAATGGTAACATACAAGCTAAGCTACAGGACAGCTTGCATTTATGCTGTAACATTCCTAGGTCAAGAGCATCTTAAAATATGGAAAAATTTGATCCAGTTCCCTGGAAAATAATTACAAACAATGTGCATTATCAAGACAGACCAAAACTCTGTTAGGCATCGCTGATTACAAGGGATGGGGCAAATCCATTTAAATGCCATTGAAATCAATGGGAAGTGAAAATGCTTGCTTAACTCAGGCAAGATTGTGCTCTTCTTTTAACTCACCACAGAAATAATTTCCACACTAGGAAATTGTACAAGCCCCACTGAAATACATGTGCCCACCAATCTTTAATACAAAATAATGTATTAAACAGGTAGTGTTTATTTCTAAATTAGAAATGGCTTGGTGTAACAGATATTAAAGCAGGCATTGTTAAAATATTCAGCTCCAGAGGTTCTGGAAAGACAGCGCTGCTAATAACATAAAGAAAGAAAATAATGTTTAAATTAAGCAACTATTCAGTTACGTTTGTTTTGTAACAGCTGTTACTGCATCAACTCAGCAAGTGCTGGAGGGGGAGGCAAAGATGCTTATGACACACAGAGCACCAAACATAATTACTTGTAGATTTACATACAGAACTACAAAGACAGACTGACAGCATTTCATCATAAACACTGTGTATTCTGTCCTTTCAATTGCACATTTGTCTAACATTAGCTGGCCTCATCAGTCGTGCCCCAAGCAGATTTACTTCACTTCTAAAGTGTTAAATCAATAATGGCAAAAATAAAATCCGAGACTCAGAAATACAACCTTCGAAGATTGGAAATAAAAGATAGCTTGTGCACAGCCCAAACAAAACTGGTTGCCTTTATTGACAGAAAAGGAATCATTCTGAGGAATCTTAGCACAAGATTAACTGTCTTGTTGATTTGAACGTTTGTGATTTTGACAACCATTTATGAACATACCACAAGCCCTCCAAAAGCATCTTGAGTGGCATAGCTCCAAATGCCAACCAGTGTTCATGGCACAATCCATTAGTATGTGCACATGAACACATGTTGCTACTTTCTACTGAGTCAGGGCATGGTTCTATTGAGGTCAGTCTTGTCTGACCACCAGCAGCTCCAGAGGGTCCAAGGCAAAGCTCTTTCACATCACTTAGTATCTGATCCTTTACACTAGAGATTCCAGGGGTTGAACAGGGGAACTTCTGTATGCTAAACAGGCACTCTACCACTCATCCCCACCATACTATAAGTCTGAAAAAAATATGATTGTGGAGTGCTCAGCTATAATCTATTTACACAAACTAAAGAACTTGCCGTCTTTCAACAACTGTCCTAAACTGCTGAAACGACTTGTAAGAAGTCCCTCTTTACCTGATCCTACAAACATCTTATCATTATCATAAGAACACTACTGTGAATAGTTAACACATTTGAAATCACACCGGATCAACTTGCTTAGACAATCTCATTTTGGTTGTAAAAACGCAGCCATATTCTTAAAGTACATGCTGCACCCAAATGAATGAATTACTCTGCTCTCGATCTGTGTATATATGCATACATACACATATCTTTTTTGTATAAACGTAGATAGCTACAGTTATACATACTAGCCAAAATTCTATAGGTGTACAAATCCACCGACCTCTAACCTCAGTAGAAACTTCCGAACTGTAACGATAACGGACTCTACGGTGTTGGGATTCGTTTGGGTGCTTTCAGTTTTTAAAAATACTAAAAGAATGATTTTAGTGATATGCTTTTTCCTATACCCCTTTCACACACACACACCCAAAAAATCAACTCACTAAATGCACGACTTGTGGGAGACCCCACCTGCTACAAAACACCGCCGATAATCCAAATCCTGCAGCCACTTCCTGGTTCCTCTGTACACGTGTCTCTCAAGTAGACCCGGGCCCGCCTACTACGACTCTTCAGCCAATAGCGAAGCAAGCTGGAAGTGTAGCGTCGATTCTATGGTACACGTCTCTTGGCTGTGTAAAAAATGAGCGGAGGGGATACAATCCGTTGCCATGGATTTCGGTCTTGTGCAGTATTCCAACAGGGCTGTCAAATCCTTTCCAGACCGCGTTGATTGCCAACTGCGGGGGGGAGAATAAGGAACTTTGCATGGGCTATGTGAGGGTAACAGCCTGCCAAAATTACATTTTTTTTAGGTCTTAGCATGAAGTAACACATTCAGTAGCATAAAAGCCACAACATGGGCTCTGTCTAGTATATTTTCTATCCCTCCCATTCTCCAAGGAGTGTACATGGTTCTCCCTTTTAATTTTACCCCCACAACAATCCTGTGAAGTAGGTTAGGCTGAAAGAATGTAACTAGCCCAAGATTTATGCTCTAGTAAAAGTTTTTTTTAATTTAACAATAGACAATTATGCTATGAAACCTGTATGCTTTTACAATGGCATGAGCTCTGCCACTATATGAAGGTTGCACCATTTTTCCTGACAAGGCCCTGTGCCTTTAATAGCTGCAGACCAGGCAGAAATCCATCAGGCAAAGCTTTCCCCACCA